TTGACAGTTTGGTGTGACAGTTCGGTGACAATTTGTATATCGTGATCGGGGTTAGTAAATATTCATAGTATAAATATATTTAAAATATATTTAGAAATGCGTGTCTGATTGATGGTCGATGATGTGAATCGAATGCGGCCGCACGAATGTTATTGGGTTAGTTCGACAGTTTGGTGACAGTTCGGTGACATTTCATGAGTGATTAGTATTAAATGTCATAATATATTGATATTTATTAGTGAATATATTAAATTAAGTTAATATAGAGAGAAAGAGGAAGAACAAAAGACGAATAAAAGAGAGAGAGAGAGAGAGAGAGAGAGAGAAAGAGAGAGAGAGAGAGAAAGAGAATTACAGAAAAGGAAGTATAAGCAAAAGAAAGAGAGGGAGAAGAAAAAGGACACGACAGTGCCGCTGCCACGGAAGAGATGGATGCTTGGTTCGTGCCTCCTCCCGCCTTAAATCCCCCCCTCGCTTCACTCGTATAAAGAAAAAAACAAATAATTAAAAAAAAAATACTTTGTAAATAATTACATACTTTTTTTTAAAAACACTTGTTTTTTTTACTGATTGATTTGTCTCATTATTCTGTACATAAAAGTATTACGGTAAGATTATCGAAAACTAAATATTTTACGAGATATTTTATTTTTTATATCAAAATATGTCAGAGATTCAAATGAAGCGATAGATCATCGTCTTAATCAAAATTCATATTTAGATTTTGAAAATGCACAAAATCTTGAACATATAATGCGGGAAATTAATGTATTTGCTCAATCTTATCAAATGATGGGTGAGGAATTAGAAAATCAACGGCGTTTAGAAATGGAATCTGGTGAATTATTACCGGAATTACAATTATTATTTACTTTAAGACCAGGTATGGATCGACGTCAATATAATGCTCAAAGAACTAATGAAGTAGCTGCTGTTTTTTATACAACTGCTGATGGAGAAATTCCAGAGTCATACGTTACAATACGTAATAGAAATACTAAAATTTTACAAAAAGTTAGTAATATGGATCCAAATGTTCAACCATGGATATATCCATTATTTTATCCATATGGCACTCAAGGATGGCATCGTTATTTAACAAAATTAAATAGTGATAGACGAATAACTAGAGGACAGTATATTAAATATCGTATGGGTATTCGGGATGAATTTAATGTTTTTTTATTAGGACGTCGCTTATTTCAGCAGTGGCTGGTAGATGGTTATGTAAAAATTGAAAAAGATAGAATTGATTATTGCAAAAATCATCAAAAAGAATTACGTACTGAAACATATCAAGGTTTAAAAGATTATATACAAACTATGGCGAATAATTTAAATG